CTCCAGTGAAGCATTATTTATTAGCAAGTTTGATTTTTCACAGTCTGCATGTTTGAGCCTTTCTATTAGGAATTTCTTTTCTTATAAAAGACAGCTCTCTTCCAATAAAACCATACCCTATAGCCTTATAGGTAAAAATAAAAAGGAATAAAAATATGTTCTGAATCCTTATGATGAATATTCATACTAGCCTCAGCAGGCTTATCTATACATACAGAACTAGGAAAAAGAAGTTGTAGCATTAGCTTTTGGATACTAAACTTCTAAAGACTTTGCACGAATGTGTTATTTTTTAATTATTATTAAAAACAAAACATCCTTCTCCTTTTTCTGACTACTGGAGTTCAGTTCAAAGCTTTGTGTAGTTTCAGTAGAGTTTTGATACTGTGACAGGCCTTTGGGCATTATCAGCTGGTTTTGTAGACAGCCAGTTTTGTAAACAAATTTGATTTGTATAGAAGATTTTATTACAAGATATAATGAATAATATACTACCTAATTTTTCCAACATGTGTCAATCCAGAGATGTAACTTGGGATGAACATGTAATTTCAGCTAATATCTTAGCTGGCTTTGCCCTGAACCAGATTAAGTCTTTGCCACAGAAAGCTGTTGTGGACAAATTTGTGGGACAAATATCAAGCTGTCACAAAAGTGTTTCAAAACTACTTTAAGGTATTGCCTTAGAGAGTAGCCTCATATATTATTTATAAAGGGGAAGATCTTCATTCAGCACAAGTAGTTCCACCAAAAAAAGCTCCCACCAAACCAAAAAAACCCCACACTGATGAACTTCTCACACGATGCGATTCCCATTTATATTTTTACTGCTTTATAACCTAGAAGTTTCTTGTCTCTGGCTTCTCACTTATGGCCAAGTTTATCACCCCAGGCCTAATTTTAAAAAGATGCTGAACTTCCTGAAAGGTCCTGAAGAAACACAGCCTCCATCTGACTCAGCTGGATCAGGCCCTTTGAGTGACTGAACTAAGAATATGACAAATCAGGGATACAATCCTGGTATCATAAAATACGAAACCGAAAGTATTCCCTGGTGCTTTCCTGTAGACCACATGTTTTTAAACCTTAAAAAGATTTATTTCCCACTTTTCATACATAATCTGCCATATTCATTATTTGAAATATCCCATAAAGAGATTAAATAGGAATTAAAGTCTGGGAGTATCATATCCATCACTGTGGTACAAACTGATGCTGAATTCCAGAAGTCATTTAGCCTTGTATGTAAAGCCAGTGCCCATTTTTACTTTGTTTTACAAAGAATAAGGAAAATGTAATACCCCAGAAGACTTTCAGACGTGCTTTTTCCCCTCCAAAGAAAAGAGTGAATGATAAAGCTACACACACCTTTTAATCTTCCACTTAGGGTTTTTACACATATATTCTCTGGCAAAAACCCCAGGGTTTTCTCTCTCCCCTCCCCTTCTCTCAGCCCCTTTCCTGCCATCTCCCTGGCTATAACTCAGCTAACCCAACAGAACCAGTCAGTTTTAAATTTCAGTTGGGACCCCGGTGACCTGTTAATGAATCTACAGAGAGGAGAAAAACTCACAGTGTTGAGTTATGCCTGGTGTTGCTAGCTGACTTGGAGTCAGAAATGCTTGAAGCGTTAACGTAATTGCAAGAATGTGAAAAATGAAGCGTTGGGCTCCTGAGCAAAGCGAAAGGTCAAAGCAAGCCCTACACAAAACAAGTCTCTGGAAGATGGCCTCATTAGACCATTAAATCAGCTTCTTTTTCTCCTCTAAGATGTTTAATGTTTTATTTTTATTATTACATATATTTAACTCTTTCGCTTTTCAGGGCAGGGGGAAGTTGATCAGACTGACTACATAATTACTAATCTCTAAAATAGTATTACACAGCATTGATTTGCATTTGTGGATCTGAACTGGGATAAAGTCAATAAATGCTTGGTAGATTACAGGTCACTAGTACTATGGTTTGCTAGATGATCAATATGTTGTATAGCTTAGTTTTCTGTTGAACAAGTGAGGTGACATGTTAAGAACAACATAGACACTCACCACTAATAAAATTAGGATAATCTTTCAACATTTACTGCCTGAAGGCCCTTTCCTTAACTCTTTCAATGCCAGCATGTTTCTAATACCAAACATTGACTAGATTAACCCTTTTGATGCCAAAGGGCAGTCATGCACTGTCGTGGAGAGACTTGTCCACAAACAGATAAAATGCCTACAACGTTTTTGTTTGGTTCCAAATTTAAGACTTATGGGTGGATTCTTCTATGTAATAAATAGATCTACCTCATGCAGAGAAAGTCTGCAAAAATAATGTCATCACTCATCTAACTCCTTTCCATCTCCCATGCACACACACCCCCCCAAAAAAAAAAAAAAAAAAAAAAAAAAAAAAAAAAAAAATATCACAAGCTGCACATCACAGACTTAAGACAAAAGCAGAGACCCCTGGAAGGAGTGCTCCCAAGAGTCAGAAGAGACTGACTCTGGTTTGAATCAATCTCTGCTGCCACCAGACATCAGTGGAGGAGACCTTAAGTTGCTAATGTAACCCAAGACTCTCTAATGAGCTCCCGTTCCCAAGAAATCCTTTGGGCCAAATAGAATACTTGAAGCAGCATTTGTGGAAGGTCTTGACAAAACTGCAGGGAAACCAAGTTGACCTAAATACGTAACTGCACTGGAACAGCTCAAGAGGACATCTACCCATCTTGGCATTGCCTGGGATCAACTGACTGCCAGTTCACGAGTTATAAAGTAAACCCTGCCCTCCCCCAAGGAAGCATAAGGAAAATTCAGTACAGGCCTTCCTCTCTTTAGTCTTTCCCAGGGTTGAGAGGGGGAGAGCAATCCAAAGCTGTCTCCAATGGGAATTTTGCTGGTGCTGTAGGATCATACATCTTTCAGCTGCCAGCAGCTGAGTGGAATGCTGATTTGCCACTGGACGACTGCTTCCCTTTAAAAAGGCCCAACTGAGCACAAAGGGAAGCACACTAGCAATGTTTTACCCTGCTGGACTGGGCAGCACTAGTGACTGATTTGGCCCTTCAGCGATTGTTCCCCTTCTGCAGAAATTAGTATAACAGGTTCGTTTAAATCATATATATTACCAGAAAACTCAGTCTCCAATGGGAAGTTGGTATACTTGTCATCAACTACTTTTTCTTATTCTTAGCAATATTTCTCAAGCACCCTGAGTTATGTGACAAGGAATTAGAGATTAGTGAAATGCAAGCTCCCTGGATGTCAATACAGGGGATTTCTTGACATCAAGCATGGCTCAATGAAGAAACTCTTCTCGTTTCTAAGGAGTTACTGGGGTAGAGATACAGGTGTGAGGAAATTTCTTACCTAGGGGTGGAATGAACACGCTGTGGCAGATGACTCAGAGGAATCATTTTTAAGTATGCAAATGATCATCTGCTATGCCAAGTATTTTAACCACAATATACAATGTAAACATTTGATCAACAGTAAAGTCTATGGCCAGCTAATAGATGTAACATGGTTTTGCTGCTTAGCAATCAAGCTCTCCCTTTCATTAGCTGCTGAGCCTGTAATAGTTCATGCTGGGCCTTGTACAGCTCCAATCCAACCACATAGAAAAAAAATACTGTGTGACTCGTGTTAGAGTTGGATCACACTCTGTGCCATGGCTGCTTTCTATCAGCAATAAGATTACAAACATATAACAATTCATACAAATAGGAGACAAACCCAAACCACTCTACCAGAAACAAACTTTGCAAGTTCCTAGAATCACAATGGGTATGACACCAGATCATGAGACAGACGAAGGGATCTATCTCTGTGCCAAGCAGTGGGCCACGTGAGAGTCGTGAAATCACATATCTGCTCCACAGCCTAAACGTGGCAAAAATCATGGTGGGAAGTGGCCCACAGTGCGGGACTAGTCATGGCAGCTCTAGCCCTGAAGGCTGCTCCCCTCCCCAGTTTCAGAATCCTGCTTTGCTAGTTGGATGGCTGACCTGTCAGTTGGCTCTGTTGGGTAAGTGTAATTCCCAGGTGCACAAGATGGAGGGAGCAGCATACCATAACGTCTTATAAACGTAATGGCTCACTCACTAACTGAGTCTTATCGTGCTTACAAAGGAAAACAAGAACAGACCCCGCCTTTAACTTTGGTCTTAAAAAAAAAATAAAATAAAAATCATCTGAGTCAAGATCCAGGAGTGACAGTAGACCAACTTTACCCAACTTTTAGCACTGGACTCTTACACCTTCTGGAGTCACTTATACTTCTAATGAGCAAGTGTTAAACACTATCATATCAGAATGACAGCCTCTGACACTCACTCAGCATGGTTGCAGATGACCACACACAAGGTGCAATGCAGTAGGAAATTAAACAAAAAACCCTGAAATAATAATCAAGCCTCCTGAACCCTTGAGAAGGCTTCACTGTATAGGTCCAGAAGAGGTTTTGCAGGTCAGATACATCTCTATTTACCATTCTGAATTCAGATTTTTCAGCAGCAGAAACAAGTCTGTACAAGCAAACATTGCAAGAAACATTTTTCTGTCCAGTTTGGGTTTTTCTTCTACTTTATATAATTCAGCAGCTTCATAACTTCGTAGAGGAGTCTCTGCCCCAGCTAAAACTACAGGTTAGATTCTCTGGCCATAACACAGCTCAAACAACTGCATCACAGCTGGAGAGTATGTCTGTCATTATATTTACTTACACCACACAAAAATAAACTGTAGATAACCAAATTTGTAAAGGAATTGGCAGAACTAATCAATTGTTATTACAAAGCTTGTTTGAAGATTAGATATTTCACTCTGAAATAATAATAAAATGCAGCTAAGTGGGTTAGGAAAAGGAAATACCGTCTCCCTAAGTTACAGCTGATTATACTGCAAGTCTGCCACTCCATGTTTACTCTAAGGCAGATGTACTGATATAGTAAAAAAAGCTGGAGTTATTTTAGTCATGCCTACTTTGCGGAGGGAAAAAGTTTGACCTTTTACCTTGCTCGCTGCTGTTGTCTCCGCTCTGGGAAGCATGGCCCCCACTGGAGGGCCCCGGTGTGCCTGCCGAGTGCGTTGAGGTTGCATCATCGTGGTCTCTCCAAGATGAAGGATTCTGGTGTCAGAGTGCCAAGGAATTTTTTCCACAGTTCCCATTCCAATAGCAAATGAAGAACAGAAAGAAAACCGGGAGAAGAGGGGAGGAGGGGGGGAAAAGTATACACATTAGCATTTGTGAAATGTGCCAAACACCGATACTGTTTGCACAGTGTAATAATTCTTCAGCAAAGACAAGCAGAGGAGGTACAAAGATTTACTTGGTAAAATAAAGGACAGATTTTTTTTTTTCCTGTTTTAAACTTTCCGAAGAGTTGTCTGGATTCAATAGTTTGAATAGTACTGCAGAAGAATATTTCAGGGGAGAAAAATAAAATTAAGTTTCTTAATGAGCTATACGGGAGAGCAGGGGGGGAGAGCATCGACCCGCACAGTTTATGATACTAGGTGTTCACATTAGGATCAAGCCAGTTGGTATGCAAACTACCTCCCCACACTTTGTTTTTCCAGACTGACTAGAGATGGGAGGGGAGAGAAAGAAGAGGGAAACTGAAGAAGTAGAGAAGAACGTGCATGGGAGAAGAACGTGTCCTCACACCCTACCCTCTCTCATCCATTTGAATGCTAGAAAAACTTCAAGTAAATGCAAAGTTGTGAGGGGAAAAGCAAGCTTTCTCTGAAAGACACTATATACCAGAAAATATGCTATCTCGCCCCCCACCACCACCTTGATATGACACATTTCAAAAGACTTTCTAGATTTATCACTCTAACAGTTCGCTTACAAGCATTGTCAAGAATAACCACCAGGTGATTATATAAAATAACATGTATAGTGATTTTTATGTAATTCTTTCTACATTACTATGCATAAAACACAACAAAAGGGAACACAGAAGACAGACATACAAAGTTTGCAGAACTTGGCTAAGTAAGACCTCAACTACTCTACTTTAGTCACATAATTTATGCAAGCTTTCCAATTTATTGAGTATTGGCTTTTCCAGAGTGAGGAGCTGCTATTTGAAAGGGTAAGTGAGGAAAACTTAATGTTACAGTTTAGTGCTACTTTGTGGAGTGTATTCTCCTCCTGTCCTCCTCCCCTTTCCTGATCATTCCCAATACCCTGCTGTTGCTTAAAGGAAAACAGGAATTCTACTGTACAGGAAGAGCTTTATCAGCACCACATGAAGGCAGGCAAGAGATGGAATTTCCTCTGGCAGAAAAGGAGAGCAAGAACACATGAAACAGATCAGACTAGGGGCTGGACCTGCATTTCTTGTCACCTGTATGTGACAACTTAAATTAAGCACATTATAATAATTCCACAACAAAACAAACAAAAAATCCCCCCTCAAAAAAAAAAATTGCTTCTTAGGTTTGATTGTGTTTTAAATCTGTATTGTGAAATAACATCAGAGTATTAAAGTACAAGATCCTGAAAGCAGCAAGTGACACGTTTGGATAAATCCTTTGAGCAGGACTGATTCTGACCTCATCTACCCCCACGTGTAGCAGGAATAAGTTCCACAAATTCAACTGATTTACCCATTGTAGAATTCAGTGTAAATGTGATTGGAATCAGGTCCCAAAATATATATTGAAACATCTCAGAGTAATCTCCTAGCACTGATTAGTACCACATGCTATATAGCAACGCAAAATAGAACTGCCAAATAACGGCTTGCTACAATACCCAGTAACATAAATCTAACAGGCCTGACCCAGATCTCAGCAGAGACAAAGGGGAGAGCCCATGATTCAAAAGGTTCCCAGTAAAGCCCTAGGTGACCAAAGGGTAAGAGGGATCCAAATCCCCTTCACCTTACACAGACACACACGTGCACCCACATACATGATTCTGTGGCAGAAAGGTATGAGTAAAATCAGAAGACAGGCCAGGATCTGAAATTCACCTAACCTGTCAGCACAACAGACAGCACAAAACCACCACCCCCTCCATAACTTAGAGAAGACTGGTCTACTTTTCCTTTCACAGAACTGCAACGGAGAAAGAAAAACAAACAACAACAAAAAAACCCATAACACAAAATAGCAGTATTTTATATTTGTTGAGGCTGTTGTATTAATTCAGTCTCAGAAACTGCTATTAATACTGTAGCCCCCTCCAAATTAATTTTATAAAAAAGCCCCAAACTTTTTACCATCCTTTTACAGTCAGGTGGAAAGAAACACAAAAAGAAAGATGAAAAGCTTTGAAAGTTCAATCAGCCCAGATGTTATTAAAAAAACAAAAAGTTGAAAATAAGGTTAGCAAAAAGTACAGATGGAAATAAACTGCAAAAATTGAGCAAGTTTCTTTACAGCCTGGATTAAAACACGGTTGTGCCTATGAGCTTCTCTTTTTATCTCTGAGTTAGGAAGCCACTCAAATAGCTTCAAGCTGAAGGCAAACAGCAGACAGGAGCTCTTCAGCCCTCTGCAGCCTCTTAGCGTCAGCTGTTTGCCGGATGGTAATCAGATAAAGAGCTAGAAGAAATACATGAAAAAGGAAAGAAACAATGGCATAGCATGAGTTTAGCCCTCCAACAACATCAGGCTGGAACCTTCTTTTAGAAAATGTAATAATTGCAACATATTCACCTAGGCTAAACTTTTCAGGGAACACAGTGAGTTATGTTAATTTTATGCACTGCAGGCTCTCTTAAGCTGGCTGCTGTTGGAGCTCCTTATCACACATATGAAAATTACAATAATTAACTGGTAACACCTCAGCTATGTTTTAAGGCAAATGTCATCCAAAACCTATCATACAGTATTTCAAAAGCTAGACCGGCCTTTCTGTTTCAAAACCGTAACAATTTGGAAAGGATCACTGAATAAGACTTCCCGCAGCTGAAAACACTTGCTGTCTCTACCAGGCTGAGTTGTTCTTGACCTCAGTTTGTAGATCCCATTTTAGAAAGACAGACTGTATTGATTGGGAATTCAATGTTTTTTCTTGTGACACAGTTTTCTCGAGGAAGCAATTTGGCAGAATTTTGTTGAAGGACAGAAATAATAAGATGGGATATTTAGAAGATGCGACAGTAGAATGTTGGAGGAATTTGAAAGGGAGGGAAATAGCTAGGGTTTAATATTATAAAAAAATGACAAATAACTCTAGGGGTGGAGTTTACAGCCTCATAAAAAGGCAGCATTCTTTTGCTTTGGACTACGATCATTGTACGTGTCAGTGAACTTCTTTTTTTCTCCCCTAGACTGTTTCCAACTTTGTATCCCTCAAGAAAAACTTCTTGGCCAAATGCCGAATCATAAGGACTTATTTTATGTATGTCTTTACAAAAAAAAAACCCAAACCCAAGCACCAAATGACACATCTGAAGTGTACTTCACTGAAAACACTTTATCAGTATAATTTAGGTACCTAAAAAGATCCTGATCTAAAGCCCACTAATTGCAATTTTTTTATTAATTTCAAGGAAATTTGTATTAAACTATCATGCTATTAAAAAAAAGCAGAAACCCAGATAGCTTTAGATAAATTACACACTGTTAGCATGGCTTCTCATATGTTCTTGCAAGTTTAGTAATATACTTTGCAGAAACACGTTGAAGAGCGCGGATGATGTCTGACAAAATGCAACTGCCTGTTTTGTGTACGTGCGCATACTATAAAATTTTAACACACATATGACCTAAACTAATGCCAGATACCATAGAAGGTAAACAGCACACATATATCTATTCCCAGTAGTTTTTATAATTGGGAGTCAAATATGGTGCTCCTCTTGCTCTTACCTAATTGTGTTAAAGAGCAGTGTTACCAGGAGAAAAGCAGTGAATACTGAGTAGAGCACAATAGAAGGAGATGGAAAATAGATACAAGAAGCTAGGTCTCCAGGGGCAGTATTTTCTATTTGCTGGGCTACAGACTCGCAGCTGATAATGCAAGTTGTAATTAATATAAAAGCAGGAGACAATATGGGGAAAGCTTGTACTAGCAGGGCCACAGGAGATCACTCCGCTGCTATCCACTGTTTCTCATTTACACACACAGCCTTCCCTAGAAAACACAATTTTGCCAGTGTTTTTTTCCCTTGAAAGTTAAAAAAAAAAAAAAAAAAAAAAAAAAAAAAAAAAAATTGATTTAGCACCACCATTGAATTTTGCTAAATCTAGAAAAGAGCAACAGAAAGGACAAGAGTCTCCTGGTATACAAAGCAAATCTGACACATTACTCTTTTGTCGATGCTGCAAATCTGGTGGAAACTGTAAGAGTTTTTAACTGCTACAGGATTTCTTGAACAGAGATGTTGAAACAGAGAAATTTGATCTAGGATAACCTTCTGTTAAATTGCAGTTCTTACTTTGTATGCCCAGAATTTCCACTGGGCAAATTCTGGTTAATTTTTAGTGAATGTATGTAGTCCCGCTAGGGCTGATTCTGATCTCACACTGCTTTTTATGGTGATATTAAGGACCCAATTAACCGTAAGGAGTTTGCTTCTTATTTATAACTGGGAAGTAAAATCAATCAGGCCAGCTGATACCCATGTGAGTAAGTTGAGCAGGATTTGGCTTACAGACATTAACTGAAGTTTTACGTACATAACTGTGACAGGATCAGGCCCTTACATTTTATCAGATGAAATGGACAAAGCCATTGATCTTGCAGGAACAAATAAAACGCAAATTACTTTCATAAATTAAACTACAATGGCTGTAGAGCTCGTTCTCTGTGAAGGTGTTTGGACTCAAAGGTCTGGAGGTTGCTCTGGTAAATTAATTTTGCAAACACAAAACTGAACTGAACTACTGACGGATAGCATTTTCCCACCCAAATACAAGCCAAATCTTGCTCACCTTGTTCTTACAAGTAACACTTGCAAACACAGTTGAACGACTGATGTGATTAATACCACAAAAATCTGTATCTCGGTACCATCGTATATTGAAAGATTATATACTGTGCCAGACGTAGAAAGCTATACACATACATGTTCATTTTGTATGAAGTTCATGATGGTATCTTAGAGACTTTTGTGGCGTGTATTAATAATAAACATACTATGTAAAGAAACTTTCAATAAGTAA